GAAAAATTACTTTTTATGTTAAATAAAAATAAGGCAAGGCAAAGCCAATGACATCACCACCAGTTTCCTTTGGCTATTTGACTCCAGGTTGGCACTGAGACTTAATAATCATCCTCTGTTGCCAGGTGTTTGCACAACATAGTGAATCATAAATTAACATAAGCAGATTTTAACCTAGTGTATTATTGGATAACCTTAGTTGTTTTCATTTACAATTCATGTGTTGTACAAATCCAAAAATTAGATTAACAGAGAAAAACACAGTTATGATTAAGCATGAGTGTGTTTGGCAAACATATCCTACAATTTGCCTAGGGAGAAAAACAGGTTAAGCTTTTCCCTATAAATGTACGGCTCACATATGCTGTATTTTCATGATTTCTACAAGGTCCTTTACTGATTTCTACTATCAAGATCCTTTTAAAACTAGAGTTAGTCTTCTAAATTATTAACTATACTGTGTAGTCTTGAGTCATCTATATGTCTGATAAACAAACCTTTACATTATAAACGAACAATTTGCATCAATGATGCCAACCCTTTTTAAAGTGGAGAACAGCCATTCAATAATGTATAAACAGTTGACTGACAGTAAAAAGTTGCTGTTTTCCCATTTAGAAACTGAATTGCCTCACTGCTGTTCTTTCTTCCCAATGACACTGTCCCACATGTGCTGCCCTAAGCCAAATCATTGAGAAGGAGAGAGATTTAGGCTTATCTTTGGCTTTTCAAATATTTCAGTTAATCATTTTTTCCTTGTAGAAAACATGCAAGCGATTGGAGCTGAGCGGGAGCAAATAAAGATGTATGAATGGGACAGTTTTCAATATGACAGCTGAAATCATGATCTATTCTCTTGGCCTAGCAATTTATGAAAAATTGAACAGAGCTTAAGGATGATCCCAAGGTATTCAAGGTCACACTCTTGTTCAAGTTGACAGCATTGAGAACACATTGAGTATGACTTTCTTCCCTTTCTTCTTCCTGGAAAACTCTTTCTCTTTCAAAAAGCACGTTGTCTTTCATCTACATAGCCATCTATCCTAAGTGCTAATATATAAGAAACATAGAACCTTCCTAAAGTGATCTGAAACCTTTATTAGGCTAATTTTAAAGAATACATTTCATCTCTAGTAACTTGTTTTGCATTATTTCTGAGAATAGTTAAAACAGACCTAGGTAAATTAAATGTATATTTATTCTTTAAATTAAAGGTTTAGATAGCAAATATCATTCAAGAGTATTTATTATAATGCATGTATTAAATTTGCATCCTTCCTTTCCTCCTGGAGGTCAAATAGGATGCAAAAAATTATTCTCATCTGCATTGTCCCCACAACAGTCTTGTGGGACCAGTTGAACTGAGAGAAAATGACTGGCCCCAAAGCTTTCACTGTGCTTCAATGCCTGGTTCTTCCCAGTTCTTGTCCAACGGGTTAGCAAATACTTTGTATGCATTTCCCCCCTGCAACTATAATAAATTGTTGCACGTAGAATAAATTGCCCCATTTTCAGCACTGTCAGATATAAATCTGCAACTCAGAAATAACAAAAAAGGAGATTTTTTTGCCAAATAGAGATAAACCTACTCTAATAAAGATCAGGCAAAAAACAACAGAGAAACATTTCCTTGGCAATGTAGCTAATGACAATGCACAAGCCATGCATATGAAGAAAAATCTTAGCATATGGAAAGGACAAATAGAAAATAGAAGATACTTGATTATATGCAGGAAATTATTTGTTGGGGAAGCTGAAATACTTTATTCAATTTGTACATCTAAACTATAATCTGTCAGAGACTGCAAAAAACTACTTTTTCTTGCCTTTGTTTTGTAAGAGAGTTTCTGCTTTGGTTCTATAAGCATTCTATTTCTTAAACTTGGTAATTACAATAACTCCTAATTTTGCATAGTAGAGCAGTATGTAGGTACTCTGTTACTGAAATTTTCAAATATTGTTGCATATTCAAATTACTTATTTAAAAAAATTACATGGTTATCTATTTTATAAATGATAATCCTAGGCAATTCAAAATAGTAATATAAACTCACAAAATCCCCAAAGAACTATACTTCTCATGACAGCATCACAAATTTCCACAACTCTACATTTGCTGGGTTCGCTTCCATCTCAGTCTAATCAAGTGAACAGCCAGGTCTTCACAATCCTTAAAAAGGCTAATAGAGATGGCTCTTTAAATTTGGGGGGGAGGGGTAGCGGGAAGGCTGTTCCAAAAAGACAGGGACAGCTTCAAAAAAAGTTGTGCCTTCATGGTCTTACCAGATGACATCATTTAACAAAAATAAGCTGGAATTGACTTGGTGGGGTGAGCAAATTTCCTCAGAGAGATACTGTCCTGCAGAACATGACCTCGTGTCATTCAGCACCTTGAGTTACATCTGGAAATGAACGGGAAGCCAATGCAGTTCATGCAACTGTGATGTGACATGAGCAAATAATGAAATATTTGCTGTTCCAGTTCTGAGTGGTCTTCAGTAGCAGACGCGCATAGAGCATGTCACAGTAATCTACAGAGTGGTGACAATAAATGACTATGGCTAAGAGCGGCATGAATGATTGAGCAAGGATCTCCAGTCTAGGAAAGGAGGCAAAGCCGTCCCCTGCCACAGCTACTCCTGCTCCTACTCTTGTTCAGTATTTTCCTTATGAAAGATTTGTTGATGCTGACATTAGATACTGATACTTGAATACTTGTTTGTAATCTCATGAAATACTGTATGCATTAGTTTTGGGATGCCTCTTGCTGTACTGTATATCCATCCCTAGGAACAGTAAGCGTTGCATTTTCTCCATTTGTACAGTATCTGCCTTACTGTTGATTGATAGAGGCCAAGATCTTTAGCAAGCCCTGTCCAGCCTCCTGAACATCAACATGAAGGCTTCCTGCATCTCTTTTGACTGGGGCAAGATTCAGTTCCACAAACATATGAACAGCATATTCCGGTGATGACAATCAATGTTTGTTTTATAGGGGAGGAACCCTTAAACACCGATTGCCATCTCACTCACTGAAACTTAATTCAATGTATCCCTCAGATAGCTGATTATCTTAAGGTTTCACATATCTTTTCCAACAAAAACAGGGAATGTTGGCTTAGCATGTTCAATAAAGACACTGTACACTGTTGCAAGAATCTCTATTAACAGGATGAAGCTCTAATGACACAGTGTCATAGTATTGCAGGGATATGAATAGTTCTAAAGAGACACTGACTTCATCTCAGGGCTGTACACTTAAAAAGAATACCTAAGTGGAAATTCCATACACATTCCCTCAACTATCAATACACAATGGCAATCAACAGGACCCGAGGATGTTATCTCACAATGCAGAAAAGGCTGCAGTTATCAAGATCTTTCTTCTTTCTAAAAAAATATATGGAATTTCAATGCTCATGCAGTCCTTTACTGTAGCTGTCCCACTTGTAATTGAGCAAAACCTGCATCCAAAATACACGAATCCAACTCTTAATAATGCACCTTGATTTTTCCCTTTATGATGCTAGGAGCACACTGAAAAGACTACACAGGTCATGATCTTTTTAAATGACCTTGCCTTAGCCAAGTGATCACAACTTTCCTCCCTAGCCTTCAAACTGAGATTCAGTATGAATTTTCCTTGGCAGGATCCCCAACACCATTCCTGGCAGCCCTCTCTGCTTTCAATCTGTATCCTCTTTTCTTTCCAAGCCCCTGAACGGTGCTGAAATAAGCCCAGAGACACCTGAACAGGAGCGGGATGAGGGTGGGAAGAATGGCCGGAGCCGCAGTTGTCCTTCATCTGTGCTCTTTTCTTGCAAGGCAAGGAGGAGCCACCCGATCCCCTTTGGGACGCCTCGGGTCAGTGTGTGTCTCCTGCAGCTGAACTCCCAAGAAGTTGCGGGCGGCGGGAGAGTGGGGAAGGACGTCCCCCATAGCCTTTCCCAGACAGGGACCACCTGTCCGCTCGCTCACCTTGGCAGCAGCGTTCAAAGTCGCGTGGCTGCAGCCACCTGGACAACCGCTCAGCTGCCGGGCGGCCGCGGTGACCAGCCGCGTCCAGATCATGGAGGCGGCCATGGTCGACCTCCTTCCTGCGGGGCCCCTCCGCTCCCGAGAACAGCCCCGCCCGGCCTGCGCCTGCGCAAAAAGACAGGAACTGATCCGAAGGCAGCCGAGCCTCTTGGTAGATTTATTTTTCTTCCCGCTGCAGGGAGGAAGCGGAAACCCCCGGCGAAGACGACCAAGACCAGGGATCTCCAATCTTGGCGACTTTTTAAGACTTTGTGGACTTCAACTCCCAGAATTCTTTGCAGCTTTGCTGGACGAGGAAAGCCTGCAAAGCTGCAAAGAATTCTGGGAGTTGAAGTCCACAAAGTCTTAAAAAGTCGCCAAGATTGGAGATCCTTGCCCAAGACAGTTGCCCTGCCTTGGCGGCGCGTAACACGTTTTGAGCCCCTTCTCGGGCACGGTACCCTGAAAGCCCTCGAGTTGGTGCTTTGATGCCCTGATCGCTCCGCCCTCTCCTTTAAAGTATTTTAGGGATTTGACTACGTAACGTCGAGTTGTTTCCTAGAGACCGCAGACAGATTTTCTCCATATAACGACCCATCTATCCCGAACCCGGCCTTTCAGCGGTGACGGCCATCGGCTCTGTAGACAGAGTCCTTCCACTTGCTGATCTCGTTTTTCTTCCCCAACGTAACAGCAGCTGCCAAGAAAACTTCCTTTTCCCCGCCTTTTATTCAAAGAGCTTTCATTTTGCTTATGCCAGGGATCTCCAAACTTGACAACTTTAAGACTTGTGGACTTCAACTCCCAGAATTCCCCAGCCAGTATGGCTGGCTGAGGAATCCTGGGAGTTGAAGTCCACAAGTCTTAAAGTTGCCAAGTTTGAAGGCCTCTAGCTTATGTTATTGGGAACCTTTTAAACGCACGCCCCTCCCCCCCGCCCCCAAACGAATAGCATGCAGGAAAAAAAAAAGAGGCCTCCCCTTCGCCGAAACCTATGAAAAGATGCAACAACGCAGGCGTCATGGGCTGGACACTCCCCTTTAAAACGGAGTTGGATTGCCCAGCAGGAGCCCTTGTAGGGAAAGAAAGCCGCCTTATTGAATATATAACGCGAGGCTCCGGAGCAGAACTGAGCCTTATAAAGCCGCGTGAATTTCTTTCTCCGTTTTCTCTGCGCAGGCCTTTACGCCGAGGTCACCAGGGGCCGCTCTCAGCTGGCGGGCCGCTACCCGGCTGCAATACTTTTCTCCCGGTCTCTTCGCGCGGCTTCCCCTTCCGGCCAGCAGAAGTGGCGGAGATGGCGGCCGGAGCGAGCGGGGAGCAGAGCAGCACCCGGGAGAGGCTGTTGGCTGCCTTGGACGATCTGGAGCTGCTGGCCAGGTGGGCGCTGCCGGCCGTTGCCCCGTGAACCTCTCCGGGGCCGCCCTTCGCGCTCCGCTTCGGGACTTCGCGTTGGCCCTGGAAGAGCCGAACCAGAAATTTAATGAGGGGCTCGTGTTCTTCTTGTGTCCCGGGCTCCTATCCTCAGCCAAACGGGGTGGCTTAAAATGGGACTCGGGGTGTCTCGACGTGCACATATTATTGGGCGGTTAATAAGTAACCCAGTTTCTAATTATTGATTTCTAAGTTCATCTGACGAAGTGCACTATTTATATTTCGCCTTTTACTACTTTTACAAATAACTCGAGGCGGCGAACACGTCCGATGTGCCTTCCTCCTATTTTCCCCACGACAACCCTGTGAGGTGGGTTGGGCTGAGAAGAGAGTGACTCGCCCAAAGTCACCCCGCTGGCTTTCGTGGCAAAGGCATGACTGCAACTCGCTTGCTTTCTAACCTGGTGCCTTAGCCAGGAGCCCAAACTAGCTAGTGGTTTAACCATAAAGTGGAGTTTTCTATTTCCCTGCAAAACGGTTGCGGAGGGCTGGCAGACTTGAGAAGCATCAGTTGAGGGGGGAGTGCGCTCACGTTGAATCTGGCTTTTGTGTGAAAATTGTTCTTCAAACATTTTACATGTTCAAGTCTGTGGGGTGCAAAAATTACTTTTCTGAATTGAATGTAGATTTATTTTGATGCAACTCAGAGCAGAATTTTAAAGATTTGCTTTACATTGCAAATGCTACTTCACCTGACAATCCATGGTCATTAGCAATTGATGAGTAGGGGAAAAAAATTACCTACAGTGGTGAGCTGGTGCCATAACAGACAGGGTGTAAGCTTTAAACACCATGCCTTTTCTAGCTCAATTTTGCAAACTACTGTATTTTTAAAACTAGAATCCTCATCCCCATTTGCTATCTTTTTACCATAAGACCATTTAAATTGTTTTATTTTTTTACTAACTGCATTTATTTATCAATCATATTTTTATAACAATTATTTCCCTCAACTATTAAATCTAACTGGATTTACCCTGATTAGCTGAAACAGGGGAGTGAAATTTAAGATGAAAGGAAGACTTGATTTACTTACTGTGGAGCAATGGGTACTAGACTAAAACTGTCTCCTTTTTGCTCACTTATATTGTTTTGCTTTAGAGAACTGATTGAAGTTTTGGCAATTTCAAGAAACCAGAAGCTAGCACAACCTGGGGAAGAGGGCCAGGTAAAGAGGTTAAAATTTTTATAAAACTATAGAAAAAAATATTGTTAATTATCTACATGTTGACCAGCCTGAAAAGAAAAGTAGTATGTCTGTTTCTCTACTTTTGCTGTAATGTTGTTACATACACTTTACTTTTATCCAGGCCCTGAGATTTATAACTAGACCTATTACAATAGAATGGAATAGAATAGCTATTACAAGATTGGATTTTATTGGAAATCCTGAAATTGACAAAATGTTTTTTCTATAACATATAATTTGTTGCATAGATCCTGGAATTGTTAATTCAGCGGGATAAAGAGTTCCAAGAATTGATGAAACTAGCTCTTGATCAAGGGAAAATCCACCATGAAATGCAGGTATTGGAAAAAGTTGTAGAGAAAAGAGACAATGATATTCAGCAGCTTCAAAAACAACTGAAAGAAGCAGAGCATATTCTGGTGAGTGAAGTGCTTTGTATCTTTTGATGATTGTGCCTATTAAATCAGTCATACAGAAAGTTGGTATAGTTTATTAGTATTAAATATACTAATACAAATTAGGCTAGTTTACTTTTAATTTCTTCAATCCTTTCCTTTGGTTGCTATGTTACTGCAAGCCAAAGTTGTCTTTAATTTCTTGAAATCTGTTTTCTTTCTCTGCGCTGTCTGCAGGGTTTTCTCCTTGATATTTGGATGTGCTAGCCAGTAACCATATGAGTATTTTACATGAATCCTAAAACATGTATTAAAGAAGATATAATGGCTCCTTGAGCCTGAAACCTCTAGTTATCAAATTGTTGCCTGAATTTATACAGTATGTGGAACTATAATTAAGCAAGAGGTTGAATTGTACAATTCTTTGGACACAAACCATATTTTGGCTAGCATGCTGTACAAAATCAGTCATTTTAGTTTTTGCTTTAGCATTTTGTATGAAGCCAATTGTCATTTAATTAACAGCCCATTATTTAACTATGGTTTAATACAATTTTAAACAGGCAAGATTTTTGTTTGTTTGTTAGAGATACAGCCCCAAAGAAATGTAGAAACATTCTTGGGATCCTATTAAATAACCAAGCTGTTGTTCTTAAACTTTTCCTTTGATTAGGATAACTTGCATATTTCCTATACTAAACTAATTTTAATTTCTGTAAAGAGGATTTATGGAAGAATGCACTTTTTATAAATCAGCATAACAATAAATAGTATTTTGCCTATAGGCTACAGCTGTTTATCAAGCAAAAGAAAAACTGAAATCAATAGAAAAGGCAAGAAAAGGTAAGTGTTGTTTTTAATTATTTCTTAGGAAGTCTGTTATCACAACAGACTAAGTTGAACATTGCATGTCTCATGAAATTTATAAACATTTGTTTCAATCATAATTTATTTTCATCAATAATTATATATTTTTAAATGTTCATGGTACATTTGAAAAACAAGACAATTCAGTAGCATTACATATCATTTATTCCTTTTCACTTCATCATTGGCAGCTTGATACAGCTGTGACCAAAACAAATTGAATAAAATCTTGCAATCTTCTATGAGATCTTTGAGTCCAACAATAGCTGCCTGCCAGAGCAATTATTTAGAAGAGGAATGAAGTGAAATTAAAAGGAGTACTTGAACAACATACATATTCCTGGTTTAATTTCTCAAGCTTTTGTAAGTTTTTGGTACTTCACAGGATGCTAGATATAATTATGAGAAGGGGAAACAACGGCCTTTAGATATTCGAAAATTGCAACTCCCAGCATTCTTTACATTAGAGCAACAGGGAATTGTAATTTAACTATGTAGAATTATAGAGCAGAACAGAAAGTAAAAAAACTACTGGAATGTCTTTGTTGTCTGTAATTTATTCGTGAATCAGCAGGGAGGAATGTTCTGAATGTTTGGCTTTTACTGCATGATTTTTGTACAAGAATTTAATTTGAAAATACAGGAATTATTTTAATTTGGGGATTTCAAAGAGAACCATCTACCATATGAAAATGTAGCACCTTACAAGATACATTTCCATTATAGAAGAGAGATTGAAATGCAAATAGAACTGCCCCAAAAGAAAGGGCTGGGGAAAACAAAAGGAAATGATCCTTGTATAATGTTAGTGCTTCTACATTTTTTTACTTGAAAGGACTACTAGTGAATTTTACGTTACAGAATGGATGGCTGCATGCATTCATTGTATCTACATTTCTTACAGGAGCTATTTCTTCCGAAGAAATAATTAAATATGCTCATAGAATTAGTGCCAGCAATGCTGTTTGTGCTCCTCTAACTTGGGTGCCAGGTAAATAATAAATATGTCTATATCATCTTATTTTTACTGATAGTAGGTATTTTAGATATTCTTTGGTAACTGCAAATATGTTCATGTATACTACTACTTGGTAAATTTGATAAGACAGTTGTAATGAAAATATATAATTTCTATCATGGGAGGTTTATCCAGTGTTTGGGATTATTAAGATGAAAGATGCTTTGGAGCACACGCAATTCCTTAACATGTAACATGCAACTCCTTGAATCTGCCTTTTAGAATTAAGCTATAGTTGCAGAGGCAGCCCGAGAAAAGGTGCAGCTACTTTAAGGAGTTGTCAATACTCTTTGAGTGCTACATCTTTCTTCTTTTGACACTTGAATTCTGACTACTGAATGCACGCTCTGTGCTACCAAGTGATCAGCTGTTAACTTATCTAAGATTTTTTTAATGAAGAGTATGACAAGGAAAATAAGTTATTTGTCCATGCTATTTCTAAAGAAGGCCATTCATGAATGACTTCAGGTTTACAGAAGGTTAAAACAAGTAAAGGTAAATAAAAGCAATAGTAAAAAATAATCACAATAAAAGAAAAACCACTATTATATATTTGATTTATATTTGCTTATTTGGAATTGCAAACAAAATCATTATTTTTAAGGGGATCCTCGAAGACCATATCCAACTGATTTGGAGATGAGGAGTGGTCTTTTGGGTCAGATGAACAATCCTTCAGCAAATGGAGTTAATGGACACTTACCAGGAGATGCACTTGCAGCCGGCAGATTGCCAGGTAATAAAGATTTAAGAGAAATGAGTCTGTTGTCAAGTGTGTTCGTATGCATAATTTGCATAGATATGTATGGGATATGCAATGTGGAACCTTAGGCATGACAAATGTTGTAAATCTCAGAAGTTAATGACATTAGGAAAACAAAAAGTCCCTTGAAATAAACTATTTAAGAATTTATTTAAAATAAAAGTAGATTGAAGTATATTCAAAGAGATTAAAAATGAAAATATTAAAAGCATTTACTTATCACTGTAGTGAAACTGTGTAAAGTATTTGCACAGGCTCGAGTAAAAGAATTATTTTAAAAAATAGCTAGTCTGTAATGGAAAAACAAGTGATACTATGAAATGTAGTAGAGGGACATAAGATCAGGATGTCTTCAGCTGTTTTAGCACTTAGCAGCATTTTGAGTTATATAGTGCCCCATAGTGCTTTAGAGCATTCTCTGGGTGGTTTATAATGTCAGCATATTGTTCCCTTCAATCATTTTACCAACCTCGGAAAGACTGAATCAACCTCCCACTCGATCAGGATTAAATTCCAGGCTATGGACAGAATTTGTCTTCATTCTAACCACTGCACCAGTAGGACTTGGGGTTTTGAAATATCAGCATCACCTTACCACTGAAGTTGAAACCTATGAAGGGAATAAGGTTGCCTTCTTTTTCTGTAAGATGCTTTTCTGGTGAAATTGTACATACTGCTAATTTTAGACGAAAGACGACTTCTGAGGGATGAATTTAATCCTGTGATTTTTTTAAATGGAAATAAATTAAGCTTTACTAATGCTAAGAAGAATTAAGCACATGAATTTCTAAAGAAGACAAGATTCTGGTAGTTTGTAATAGCCTGAGAAATAAATTAGACAAAAATAACAAAAGGGTGGATAGGTGGCTTGGAAAATAGTCACAACTCACTGTTTTCAGTGCTGTTGTAACTTCAAATGAATGGTTGTAAGTTGAGGACTACCTGTACAAGGCACTCTTAGCATCAGAGGATTTAATGGGAAAATGAGTTATGTTCTTCTGAAATCAGTGGGAATTGTGTGACAAGTTTACTTTTTGTAAAATTGATGTGCAATTTTATACTGTAAATTTCTGGTTGTCATTTTATTATTAAAAAAATAAATGTGCATGGAGTAATTGTATATTGTACATTTCTTTTTTCTTTAGATGTACTTGCACCACAATATCCATGGCAATCAAGTGACATATCAATGAACATGCTTCCTCCTAATCATAGCAATGACTTTATGTTAGAACCTCCTGGACATAATAAGGAGAATGAGGATGATGTAGAGGTTATGTCAACAGATTCCTCGAGTAGCAGTAGTGACTCCGATTAGGGCCTGCATCTGAATCACTTGATTGTATCTGCATATACATTCTGCATTCCAGATGGAGGCTGCGGTACCAAGGAGGAAACTTAACAATTCATGAGAATCTTTCTCTTGTATTTGATGATACGACTTTATCCCAGAATGTCAGATAATTGTTGAAATAGGGTGGAGGTAGCCACTGGAAATATGTTATGCTCTGACATAATTTATTTTGGTATGTGTTTACTCATAAAAATGTTTTTGCACAAAATAAATATCTATGAAATTGCAAGTTAGCTGTTGCTTGTGAGTAGAGTAACATTTCTATAAACACCAAAGAATTGCATGGAGCAACTGTCACCAATTCCTTAATACTGTACATTTTTATAGTAAGTCTTCCAGTCTTTCAAAATAGATCTTCAAGCATCAGAGATGTGGGAGAAAATTCCATTCTTCAATGCCATTGAAGAAGTAGTCTATGAGTAAAAGTCTGCTAACCGATCTTTAGATCCAATAATCTTTCCAATTGCATAAAATCAGAAAATATTTAGATGAGACTTCCCCAGGCTGCTACTCTGCATGTGCATTTGTAATACTCTACCAGCACTCCTACTTCCTAGACTTTTTGTCATGAGGGTGTAAAATAGTTTTGTATGAATTTTGCTGGTAGAATTCATTCACAATCAGGTTATGTATGTAGCAAATAAGAGCTTTTGCATATAAAATAGTAAGTTTTTACTAAAAAATACTGAATGTATTGTGGTCACATCATGTCTTGTTTAATGAACTTCAGGGAAGTGAGGTCATAAGGTCATGTAATGTCTCTCTGAATCATGGAGCTGCTGGTCCCAATTGTGACTGCTAAGTGCAGACAACCTGAATTTTTAACAGTAAGCTAGGCCCATTAAACATGTCCTAAGTCTGGCAACCAGAGAGTATTCAGGAGGTGGCCTTGGTTCTAGATCTTGGAGGACAGAGACAATGAATCCAAGATGACAGTGAAGGGGAAGGCAAGGAGGTCAAGGGGAAAGGGAGAGAGAAATGGTGTTGGATCATCAGAAGCCAGGCAGGGCAAAGGAAAACATCAGTGATAGAAGCTAAAGACAGCCATAGAGAGAAAGTATAGTATAATGAAAAAAGGGCTAGCTTTTCAGTAGGAGCACTCGGGACTTGGCCTTCCCAACGAACTACATGAAGAGGTAAATTTTAAGAAACCTGAGTAATAGGAATGGATTCAAACATCCTGGAAACCTTTTTCTTAAAAACTAATTTATTGATTAAATCAGAATTGGCAAATTATATTAAGCCAAAATTAAATTGATATACTCTGTGAACTCAGCCTGCCTGTTTGTTATACTTGGGCACATATTCCTGACTGTTCCAGGTTACCAGGATGGATTTTTTTATTCTTTGCTGTTTATCTTATCTGCTGAGATCCCCTGCTAAAATACTGTTCACGTCAGTTTTAAAACAGCAGTCAGTTTTTAAAGAACAAAAACAAACAGCATTTTTCTCTTGGATCTGTCCTGTGCTACCTTTTTCTTTCTAATTAAAATATTCCCAAATCAAAATATCCCCAATTTTTTGTTTAAAAATAATTTTCTTGAAAAAAATTAAAGGCTCAGTTGACATGAAATAGATTTCCATAGTTCCTGGTTAACTCAGTTAACCATAGGCAAAATCCACACAATATATTGAGCTAATATGGCTGAACACATTTTGGTTCAGCATTATCATGCAAAAATAACTAATGGAAAACTAAACACAATATGGGTTGCATAAAAACATGTTAAGGTTTTTTTTCCCATTATTGGAAACGTTTCACAGGTTTTCATGATGAAAAAAGGCTTGCACACTGGTAGTAATTTTTCTTTTTTTCCAATGGTGGTACTCCTAAGTCACAGAGCAAAATGGATTAGAATTAAGACAGTTTAAGAATTAAGACAGTTTAAAATATGGACCTTTTGTGATTAGATCATATCATTTATAGGGGCAACTATAATACTTTTACTATACAATCATCTTTTCTCACAGAGCAAAGTGACAAAATATAGGATGTATTATTGCAGCTACTTTGACCAGTAATAAGACTATCAGTATCACAAGTACGCATTAAGCTCTATATATTAGGATACATCACTGTATTAAATATGTTGTAAAGAAAAATATGTGAAACTGTGCCAAACTACAGCTTTTGGAGGGAATATGATTATTGCCATTCATGCAGTATTGACAGAGGTTGGTTCCAAGTGTTTAGAGCAAATGTACAACTTGGCACTGATAACAAAAGTCTCTTCGTAGGGGCCTATTGATAAATTGTTTTAAATCCAGAAAATATAATTTTTAGAAATTTCCAGTATACCCAATCAGGTGGTTTAATTCTTCTTTGAAAGGATTATAATTTTGTTCTCTTAAGCAGCGTAGGGGCCAGAAGAGTTTATTGGCTGGTGGAAACTCATCCCATTTTACCCATTCCCAACCTACAAAAAGAAAAAGAACAACATTTCAGCATAAGAAGAAAATTAATCTGTCAATGATTTCTAGGATTATGTAGTGTCAGATTGGGAAATGGGAGTTTATATAAAGGAAGAAAGTCCCTGGAAAGTAGTAAATGCCTAAAATTCCCACAGTGTTATGTTATGAATGTGATGCAAAGACATTTTTTAACCCAGAAATGCAAAACAATTTCATCATTTTACAATGCTCCATACGGCTGGGACAGTTGCAAGTGGTGCATATAAAGTTCAATTTTAAAGAAAATTAAAAGCATAAAAATTAAAACATTACAAAGAAAAAAAACGTTCATATATCTAAAACATAGGTACCTTTCAAGAGAAGACCAATTGCATGCAGGTGGCAGCAAATTAAATGCCAATCTCTAACTATCACCAAATCTATCCTGGCAAAAATGATGTATGCCCTGATTTCAAACTGTTTGAATGGTTAATCATTGCTTCAATAACATACATAAGCACAAGCCCAGCCCTGTTTAATATAGTAGCCCTGAAGATATTAGGTCAAGGGCCATGTTCATCCAGCATTTTGTTTCATATGGTAGTTATTACCAAGATATCTCCAGAAAAAGCAGATGGAAACAAACTGTTCTGCATGAAACTAGTTCCAAGCATTCCTGTTTTATTATTACATTTTAGTATAATATCTGAGTTGCAACCTGCCTAATTATTTTGGAGTCTTACAACTTGACATGATACTTCGTTCCAGAAGTTTAAAACAAATATTGAGTAGACAACTCAAAAAATAATACTGGGACACATTTTCAGTACCCTAGATTCTGGAAGTTAGTTCAAGATAAATTAGAGAAGCTTGCAGCCAAAGCCTTGCCTAGATACAATATCAACAAATAAGGGATATGATTTGCACTTTGATACACGCACAAATGTTCAAACAATAAACAAACAAAAAGCAGGAAACCATACTCACATTGTACATATATGCAGACAATATGGATACAGAGTTTTAAAAAAACTTACTTTCATTTTTATCAGGTTCCAGATTCTTTGGTTCAGATTCGTGATTCATATCAATGTCTCCTTGCATTAGGATGGTGACATAATGGTAATTGTCCTTTAAACTGGCAGCATTTACAACTGAAGCAAACCGCACATTTGTTAGATGCAAAGCAGCTTCTTCTAAAGTTTCTCTCTTTGCACATTCTACCAAACTTTCACTGCACAGAGGAAAAGTGAAGGAAATATGAGTCAGCCAGAAAGCAAAAGTGGTCCTATCTGTTTGAAACATCACAACAATCCAGTTTATATGACAACTAGCAGGCATCTACTCTGAACAAGGTGCCTGAATATTTTTATCAGCTTTATTTGCCCTTATTCTCAAAGAAATTGTTTTGCTTATAAAGAAGGGATACTTTATTTTAATTAATTCATTTTCTGTGATGTAGCATAATTAATATTTGTTTACTGATGTAAGGCCTTTTTGTATGTTGAGATAATGGGAAATCTTTGGTGTTTCAGTAGCTTCAGATTGTTTTTCTTATTTTCATCTTTAGTCTTATATGGGGTTGCACTGCCCCACATAACCTGGTGGCCAGAGCAGGTGCTTAGGGAGGTCTTTGCCCAGTTTCAATCTATATGCCAGTTATGCGCTTTCCTGTATGTGGGGGTTCTCTGCTTGGTCATTGACACCCTATTTCATTCGAATTTGGACTATTGCAACATGCACAACATAGGTCTATCTTTGAAAGGTATCTAGAAGATTCAGGTGGTACAAAATGCAGCTGCATGGGCAATTTTAGGTGTCCAAAGGGTGCATGTAACACCTCTGCTTTGCAAGCTGCATTTGGTGCCAATTTGATTCAAAGGACTTATAAAGCCCTACATGGCATGAGGCCAGCTACCTATGCAAACATTTTGTCCTATTCCATCAGCCCATCCCACATGATCAGGTAAGGGAAGGTATGTTGCAGACTATCAGTTCTCCTGGCAGGGTCAAGGAAGAGAAACTTCTCTGGTGTTGCCCCACCCTGTGGAATATTTTCTTACTCAGGCCCCCACTTTCCTGGCCTTCTGAAAAGGCATTAAAATCTGTCCTGACCACAAACAAAGCCAGCATAGTTGCATTAAAAAACTCTGATCAACTGAAAGACAAAAACGACAAGAATAAAAAGTGGAAAGAGGGATACATAACTAAAACAGAATACCAGCATATAGCATGAATCTGCAGATGACATCAGAAAAGCTAGGGCTCAGAAGTAAGAACTAAGACTTGCAACAAATGTGAAAAATAAAGTTTCTTTCAATATGTAAAAAAATAAGAAAAAAGTCAAGGAATTCATTAATGGGAGAAGATGGCAAAGAAGTGACAGGCAGCAGTGAAGAAAGCAGAGCTGCTGAATTCATTCTTTACATTGATCTTTACATAAAAAGAAAAAAATATTTCAACCTACCAAAGGCAATACTGTAGGAGACAGAGTAGGAATGCAAGTCAAAATAAGCAAGAAAATGGTAAGACTACTATCTATTCTAGACGAGTTCAAATCACCTGGACCAGATAAATTACTGTATTTTTCAGACTATAAGCAGCACCGGACCATAAGACAAACCTAGGTTTAGAGAAGGAAAACAAGAAAAAAAAAGCTTTTGGCTTCTCTGTGTCCCGTTTTCAGCCTCCCCAGCCCCCAGAAGCACTCTGAAGGCCAAAAATGGGCCCAAACAGGACCCGTGGAGCCCTCCACAGGTCCTGTTTTTTGCCTTTCCTGGCATCCAGAAGCTCTCTGCTGGCCAATTTGCTTCTGGATGCCAAGGAGGGCAAAAACAGGACCCGTGGAGGCCTCCAGAGACCATAAACTGGTCCATTTTTTGCCTGCAGAGCGCTTCTGGATGCTGGGGAGGCACGGAGGGTTTGTGAGGCCAAAAGCAGGCCCATATTTGCTCTATAAGAAACACAGACATTTCTACCCACTTTTTTGGGGGGGACAGACCGACGGACCGCGTCTTATGGTCTGAAAAATACGACACATTCCAGAGTTCTGAAGGAGGCCACAGATGTGATTTCAGAACTAGTGAACCCTACTTTCAAAGATCCTGGACTACCAGGGAATTACTAAAGGACCAGAAAAGAACTGATATGGTTCTCATCTTCAAAAAAAAAAAGGGGTGGGGTGGGGAAATGGATCCAAGAAACTACAGAACAATCAGCCTGACATCAATACTTGGGAAGATCCTGGAAAAGATAATCAATCAACAGATCTGTGAATGCCAGACAAACCTTATTGCATTATTTGACAAAGTGACTAAATTAGTGGACCAGCGAAATGCTGTGGACATTGGACTTCAGTATTTTAACAAAGTAGATAACAACCTACTTCTTTGGGTAGACATTATCACCAGATTGATTCGTAGCTGGCTGACCAACTCTCAACATGAAACTACAGGTACATGAGGAGAAGTATACAGTGGGCTAACCCAAAGTTCTGTCTTAGGCCCAGTACTCTTCAATGTCTTCATAAGTGTTTAGATGAGGGGCTAGAAGGGGAACTCATCAAATTTGCAGATAACACCAAGTGGGAGAGAGTAGCCAACACTTTAGAACAGGGGAGGCAATTACTTTTCCCAAGGGGACACATGCAAAACCGAGACTGTTGTGGAGAGCTGAACCAATGGGGCTGCTGCAGCGCCCCCTGCCATCATGGATTGGATAAAGACAGCCACGGACAGTGGAATGCCCAGGTTTGTCCAGAAGGGTCTTGATAGAATGTACACTGGGGCTTATACAACACAATGTAATTTGGTGATAAGAAAAATAAGGGTTTACATTTAGCCAAGAAAAACCAAATGCATATGTATAGAACAAATGGTACCTGGTTTAACAGCAGTAATTTTGAGGGGGATCTAGATATCCTAGTAGATAAACACTTAAGTATGAGCCAGAAGGGTGCTGCAATTGCTGAATAAAGCCAATACAGTCCTAAACTGCATCAACCAAGGGATGGTATCAAGATCACATGAAG